TGTATGTATGTATATGTATATATACATACATATATACATAAATATTGTTGTTGTTAAGTGCCTTTGAGCCACAGGCAACTCTTAGCAACCCTATGAATGAAAGACCTGGACACTTGTATAACTTTCATCCTTTCTCCAGGTTCATAGAGTTTCCGGAGGCAAGCTATTTTGGAAGTGGATGTCACTCCTGCTTTCAAGCTTGTTTTAATCGGGGAGCTCCACCCAACACTGTCCACCATGGGTAACCATTATTGCTTTCAACACATCAGTGTCACAGTGTTCAGCTTCACAGCAACCACGAGTTACCCCTGTGCAGCAAGTGGACACACCAGGGCTATACGACCTAGAAGAATGTTTGACCAAAAACAATTAAAAAACAGGCCTGAGGGCCACAGATTTTATATATATATGGATGTAGGTAGAAATGTAGGTAGATAGGTATATAGGCATATATGTATATGTGTATATATGTATATATATGTGCATATATGTGTGTGTATCTATCTCTATATCTCTATCTCTATCTAAACATACCAAAATAAAAAAGCTGAAAAGAAGATTTCAAAGTACAGCTCGAAAAGGCAAAGCAAAGTATTATAATGGGATGTGCTGAGAGCTGGAGTTGGAGAATAAAAAGGGAAGAACTTACTCTGCATTTCTCAATCTGAGAGAACTAAAACCCAAATTTAAGCCTTGAGTCACAATATTGAAAAATGCTATGGGCAATATATTGAATGACTCAGAAAGCATCAAAAGAAGATAGAGGGAATACACAGAATCACTGTACCAAAAAGAACAGACTGACACTGAAAATTTTCTGGAAGGAAATTCCTGAGAAGGAGCTAATGGTAATGAAGGAGGAAGCAGAAGCTGCATTGACGGTATTGAAAAAAAATAAGGCCCCTGGAATCAGTGGGATACCAATTGGCTTATTTAAATTAACAGATACTGCCCCGGATGTGCTCAACAGTCTATACCAGGAAATTTGGAGAACAGCCGTCTGTTCCCAACAGATTGGAAGAGGTCCATATTTGTTCCCATTCTCAAGAAACGTGATCCAACAGACTGTGGAAACTATCAAATATCATGAATGTCACATGCAAGCAAAATACAGTTGAAGATCAATAAAAAATATCTAGAACAGTAGTACATAGATGGAGAACTGCTAGAAGTTCAAGTAGAATTTTTAAAAGGCGGTGGCACAGGGGATATAATTGCTGATGTCAGATAGATCCTGACTTAAAGTAAAGAATACTAGAAAGTCTATTTATGCTTTATTGACCATGCAAAGGTATTTGACTGTGTGGATCATATCAAATTATAGCTAACATTGAGAAGAATGGGAATCTCAGAGCACTTAATTGTGTGCATGAGACACCTACACCTAGGTCAGGAGGCTGTCATGTTAACAGAACAAGAAAACACTACATGGTTTAAAATTAAGAAAGGAGTGCATTAGGGTTGTATTCTTTCTCCATGCCTACTCAATCTATATGCTGAGCATATTTTTTTGAGAAGCTAGACTCTATGAAGAGGACTGTGGCACCAGGATTGGAGGGAGACTCATCAATAACCTGCATTATGCAGATGACACAACCATGCTTGCTGAAAGTGAGGACTTGAAGCACTCAATGCAAAAGATCAAAGAATATAGCCTTAAAAAAAAAGAATATAGCCTTCAATATGGATTGCATCTCAATGTCAGTAAAACAAACATTCTTACTACTGGACCGATAGGCATCATTATGATAAAGAAAAGATTAAAATTGTCAACAACTTCATCTTATTTGGATCCACAACCAACACCTTTGGTATCAGCAGTCAGGAAAACAGGAGATATATTGCAGTAGGAAAGTCTGCAGTTAGGGACCTCTCCAAATTATGAAGAGTAATGATGTCAGTTTGAAGACTAAAGTGTGTCTGATTCAGACCATGGTCTTTCCATGATCACTTGCTATGCATGTGAGAGCTGGCCAATGAATAAGGATTACAGAAGAAGAATTGATGCCTTTGAGCTGTGGTGTTGGAGAAGAGCACTGAATGTACCACGGACAGCCAGGAGAACAAATATGTCTTCGAGACAGTACAGCCAGAGTGCTCTTGGAGGCAAAGATTATGAGGCTCAATCTCACATATTTTGAGTATGTTGTTAGGGGATACTATTCCTTGGAGAGGGACATAATGGTGGGAAGCGTGGAGGGTCATTGAAGGAGAGGAAGAACCTCGGCCAGGTGGAGTGGCATGGTGACCGTAATAGGCTCTAGTGTGATAGGAAGTGTGAGGATGGTGCAGAATAGAACAGGGTTCAGAGCTTTTGTTCATAGGGTTGCTATGGTTCGTACTTGACTCGATAGCACCTAACAACAACTATATATATATCTATATCTATATCTATATCTATCTCTATCATCTAAAAATGTGAAAGCTAGTGGACAGGCTCTGACCTTTCAGAAGCAGCTTACCAGGCCTTTCCTCTGAGGTGCCTCTGAGTGGGTTTTGCCTTCTAATTATTTTGTTAATAGTGCTATTTATGCTACCCTAGGCATATATATATATAATCTATAACATATATTATAGGTATTATATATATTATATTTATGATATATTTGTATATGTTGTCATTGTAAGGTGTTGTTGAGTTGACTATGAAACACAGTGACCCTATGAACAACCTGAATAGACCTTTGCCCTGTCTAACGCCATGCTCACACCCATTGTAGTCAGTCTGTTGTCTTAGCATAGTCAATATAGTATTATATTTATATTGTTGTTATATACTGTTGAGTTGGAACTAACCCCTAGCTGACCCTCCAGCAGGTTTTCAGAAGCATTAAATTGCATGGGAGGAGACTGCCCACCTTTTCCCAGCAAAGCAATTGGTGGATTCTGATCGTTTACCTTTGTATTGAAAGCACAACTCCTTACTGAGCTAACAGAAATCCCCATGTATTTATTATGTTGTTGTTATATACCATCAAGTCAGAACCAACTCATAGCTGACCCTCCAATGGTTTTCAGAGGCAGTAAATAGCATGGAAGGAGATTGTTCATCTTCTTCCTGAAGGGAAACTGCTGGATTTGAACTACATACTGTTGGGTTGATAGCACAGCCTCTTACCTCTAGGCCACCAGGTCTCCTGCCCTCCTGACTAGACCATCTGCTTCATGAAGATGGGATTGTTTAGTTCACTGCCACACCTAGAAGGACTCACTACACTCTTAACAAATATTTACTGCATGAATAAATTCACCCAATCCATCCTTCTTCCTTCCTCTCATCATTTACTCCTGAAGTGTCTGCTCAGTGTGAGGCCTTATATGGCCCTGAATTTGAACTCAAAGTACTAAGAAAGAGAGAGGGGACTTGATGTTTCCAGAAGTGTTGCATAATTCTCACAAAAATCCAGGGAAGTAGATATTACTTCTATGATACAGATGAGGAACAGGGGCTCACAGAAGTCAAGACTCCCCCAGAGTTCCCCACCAGCAGAAGAAGAGCAGGACTTGCACTCAGTTCTGTCCAACCCCAGCCCTCTCTGCCCCGGGCCTGTGAGGGTACCGTGTGCAGCCGCCTCCTCTCTTGGTCCCACTTGTCAGCATCTTCCACCTCCTCCAGGGTCATGGGCTGTGTTTCCTTCTGTGAGGTGGTTCTGGGCATGGCCAGCACATCCAGGCTTGGAGCCTCTGAGGGTAGGGTGACTTTCTGCTTCTTGGACTGACTCTTGCTGCCTCTAGCCAAATGGTGATCTGGGAGTGGAGGGGAGAAAAGAAGGCAGGTAAGATTGAAGGGGTGCTTGGCCTATGTGTCGTCAAGCAGGATTGGGGTTTCTCTCTACCTCTCCTGAACTAACTCACTTTCATGCATGTCCAATCATAGTCCCCTTTGAGATATACCTTGGCCCCATGTTCCCATGGGGACGACTGTCTCACTTTACCAGGACACCTATCCTCACCTGCTGCCATCCTCAGCTTCACAGATCCTGTTTCCACCAGATGGGATAGGAGATCCAAAACATCTCATTGCCTTGCTAAAAGCCTAATAATTTCTGATGACACTCAAACTAATCTTCACAGTACTCACCTTGTCTGTGGGGTATGGCCTGGTCTCCTACCTGACCTCTTCTCCTGCCTTGATCTCGAACCACCAGACCCAGCCTGCCTCAGCCATCTGTCCTTGGAGACCTTCCCACTCCAGGCCCTCTGCCACTGTGGCTCCAGTCCTATGCCCTTCAGCAGGCTGTCCCAGGACTGGCTCTTCCTCATTGCAGGCTAGTGTTTGCTTCTCAGAGCGGCCTGTCCTGTTTCAGTCAAGTGGAGCTCCCAGCCTGGCCTTCTTGCCTTCTGGTGTTGAAATTATGGACAACTAGCCCAGCCTCTGAGCCTCTGTGTACTGCACGGTAATGGGTGTAGGGTAACCTGATCTTGAAGGACTTGGGGGAGTGGTAACTGGGGATCTTAAACCTATTGTTGTCTGATTGTTTCTAACTCATGGTGACCCTGTCATCTGGACCTAGCTGAAGTGCCCAGAAGTGTAAGGTTTCCAAGGCTGTCACCTTTTTGGAAGCAGATTACAACATCTTTCTCCCCTATAGCTGCTGTTGAACTCAAACCGCCATGCTTTCAGATAGCAGCCACGCACTTAACCACTGCACTACCAGGGCTCCTAAGGGAGATAATGCCGCAGGTAAGCAGTAGAAGAATTCTTCCAGTAGTCGAAGGAGGGCAGGAGGAGGGAGGGTAAACTGAGATAATGCCGCAGACCGTGGTGATCCCGCACGTGTCAGAACAGGATGGAATGGCTGCTTTCATGGAAGTAGGTTCCCAGGGCTTTCCTCCAAGGTGACTCTGAATTGACTTGAACCTCCAACCTTTCAGTTAGGAATTAACTATTTGCACCATCCAGGGACTTCTTTAGTAAATGCTAAACATAGGTAATGCTGGTTTCTGAACAATAAGCTTCACCTAACTTTTGCTCAGTAACACTTAGTCAGGCCTTGGGCTCACAAATGCAAGTCTCTCAAGAAAGGCTTGCTACCCCGAATAAGCAAAGCACTCCTTAAGAATAGAAGAACGGTAGGA